CCAACTGGTTTTTACAATTTATTATTCACTTTTGGAGTGAAGCCACTCACAGCAAACATTAAGCAATAGCGATAATTCAAATGCACTCTTCACTCTCTTAATGCAAACCTTATGCTGGTTGCTTCTGGATCCCCAACCCATCTAAAGAACAGTGTGCCTTTCATCTCATGTGCCTTTCATCTCAAGAACAGAGAAGCATCCCGAGCTCTGAAGATCACCTGGGAAGGAATCCCACTGGAGCATTGCAGCGCACCCCAAATACCTGGGAGTCACTCTGGACCGTGCTCTGACCTACAAGAAGCACTGCCTGAACATCAAGCAAAAAGTGGGTGCTAGAAACAATATCATACGAAAGCTGACTGGCACAACCTGGGGATCACAACCAGATACAGTGAAGACATCTGACCTTGCGCTATGCTACTCTGCTGCTGAGTATGCATGCCCAGTGTGGAACACATCTCACCACACTAAAACAGTGGATGTGGCTCTTAATGAGACATGCCGCATTATCACGGGGTGTCTGCGCCCTACACCACTGGAGAAATTACATTGTCTAGCCAGTATCGCACCACCTGACATCCACCGGGAAGTAGCAGCCAATAGTGAAAGGACCAAGGCAGAGACATCTCCAGCTCATCCCTTGTTTGGGTATCAGCCAGCATGTCAACGACTTAAATCCAGACATAGTTTTCTAAGATCTACAGAGACACTCGCTGGAACGCCTCAGCAAGCGAGAGTCCAAAAGTGGCAGGCTCAAACCCAGAATTTCAACCAATGGCTGATACCAAATGAGAGACTCCCCCCTGGGCACACAGAAGATTGGGAGACTTGGAAGGCGCTGAACAGACTGCGCTCTGGCACCACGAGATGCAGAGCCAGCCTTCAGAAATGGGGCTACAAAGTGGACGTGCGAGTGTGGAGAAGAGGAAACCACAGACCACCTGCTGCAATGCACCCTGAGCCCAGCCACATGCACAATGGAGGACCTTCTTGCAGCAACACCAGAAGCACTCCAAGTGGCCAGATACTGGTCAAAGGACATTTAATCAACTACCAAACTCACACATTTTGTATTTTCTCTGTTTGTTTGCTTTGTTCTGTTAGAAATGTAATATAATTGACTGGCTGCCCTGACAAGAGAAATAAATGCGAACCTTAGAGGACAGGTTCATGATACAGTTTTTGCTGGGGAAAAGCACCAGTTTCAATGTTTTAACTGAATTAATCAAATTACACTTACTTTGATTTTTTCCAGTTGTATATTCTGCCAAGCATTGTATTATTTAAACTCAGAAATACTTGCCCACCATAAAAAAGGAGTGAAAACCTGTTTTACTCATACTCTTGGTAGCAATTGTGGTGATGCCTGCAGGACTGCTGAATTGGAAAATGGTGTAGAAGTCTTGTTTTTGATCTTTGTTGTCTGACAAAGGGCTAGTAGTTTACTTAAGGCTTCTAGTTCTTACCAATCCGCTCCAGTCCTGATACACTCTACAACTGTCATGCTAATACTATCCACAGCCTTGTTGGGTTCTAGCTAGTGAGTAGAAGTAAGGGGGCTGAGGGATTTATCTCTCCAATTCCTACTCCCCATTTGGGTGGGCATAATGAAGATCTAGAGCAGGGCTTTTAAAACTTGCCCGCTCATAATGCCTTTCATCTCAAGGATGCAATATTCTGAATGCAATATTCCTGCTTCTTGGCAGGGGGTTGAACTGGATGGCCCATGAGGTCTCTTCCAACTCTTTGATTCTATGATTCTATGATTCTAGGAGTATTTATGTGACTCTAGATATATAAGTATATAAATTATGTATAAAAATCAAATATTTACTGATAAGAAATCAACCTGTGCAAAGTTTGCCAAACAGACCAATTTTCCTTTTTATGAAGTACAGCTGAAGCATCTTCTGCAGAGTTCCCCGTAAATACTGCACAGCAGATAAGTGTAAATGTCAAAATAATAAGATTTACAAATGTTTATACAAAAGGTTTATGACTATCTGCACCTAACTGAAATAACTGTAAATAATGCAATGAACAGTAAGAAACAATGAAAATAAAAGAAAACCTGCCAAATTTTTGGGACTCTAACATTGAGCTAAGGGGACCCCTTTCAGGGTCAGGATCCACAGTTTAAAGGAAGAACTTTGAGCACTAAGTATCCTAAATATACCTTGATCAACTCTTGCTATATCTACAGTTTACCCATTATTTACTCTCCCAGAACTCCCAATACTGGGAAGGCAAGACCTGAGGATATTTTTTTTTTTGGAAGATTCTGTTGTTTCCTATAAAATGCGGTCTTAATCCAAGATTGAAGCCCTATGTTTTAGCATTAAGATGCCTATTTTCCAGGATATGAATATACACAGCAGGTCTGACATTTGAATTACATGGCAACAGATGGCATTATTTCTGCTATGTAAATTGCCTGGAGCATCATGGGTGGAGGGCAATTAATAAGTAATTAAAGATGATGATGATTATTTAGTGAAATAACTCATTTACTTGGTTAAAACTCCATGGTAGTTTCCTAAAACAGTATCTAGGTGAGAGATCAGTGCAAAAAAGATAGGCCAAGTTTCTTTGGCCCTAAATACTAAGGGCCCATCTACACAGCCCTCTATGCCAGAATATCAAGGCAGAAAATCCCACATTATCTGCTTTGAACTGGAATATGTGGCAGAGTGGACTCAGATAACTCAGTTGAAAGCAGATATTGTGGGATTTTCTACCTTGATATAGGACTGTGTGGAAGGGCCCTATGAAGCACTAAGATGGCAGCTACTCTATGTTAAGCACAAACTGTTGGTTCCTTTACAGCTCAAGCCAAATTTAAGAAGGTTACAAGCATATCTTATAAATATTATCTTTTGAACCTACAGCTGTTAGAATCCACCTGGCCATGTGTTTGTGAGGTTGTAGAAGTTGTCAATAAAAAGTAACCTTAAGGATGGAACTTGAACCAGAACTAGTAAAATGGGCACAAAACATGGAACATGTCATTGAATTAGAAAGATGGGAAAAGATGTGGAATTTGAGAATCAAGGGAATCGTATGTCAAAATCTAAAAGAAAATTTTTACAAGACATTGTTCCAATGGTATCTAACTCCAGAGAGGCTGGCTAAAATGCATACAAACTTGAGCAGTGCATGCTGGAAGTGTGGCCAGAGGTGGGAACTTTTTTCCACATGTGGTGGACCTGCTCTAAAACAAGATAGTTTTGGAACTCAATACAACAATTACTGCAAAAGAAAATTCAAAGTCACAGTTCAACTAAATCTGTTGTGATTGAATCACCTGGCAATGTTACAACTGCTAGTAGGAGTACTGCAAAGAGGAGTGGGGAGTTATTAGATAACAAGCTGCAGCGGAAAAGGATTAGGGAAATATTCATGACTCCAACAGATGACGACAGCTTCGAAGGGTTCTCCGAAATGAGTGAGGATGAGGATGGGGGGAGAGGAGTGAAAAGGTATACTTGAGAGCAGGAGTCAGACGAGGAGTGTCAGAGGAAAAGGATTCGGGAAATACTTGCTGCTCCTACAGACATTGAAGACTTCCTGGGTTTTCAAGGGAGTGATGGGAGTGAGAGCAGCGAAGATGAAGGGGAATGTTTAGATTGGACTAAGGTTAATGAGGTTAGAGATGTTTGTTTACAAGCCTCATCCAGTGACACTTTTGAAGGTTTTAAAGGGGACTGGCAGACTGATAATAACATGCAGACATGGGGAGATCTAAGTCTTGGTAAGCGTTGGACCATTTGGAGGGATGGGCATGGGCGCTCAGCTGCAGCATCTCGGGCAGCTGCTGGAGATGAGGATGGGGCGAGGGACAGCTCATCAACAGATGATGAGCTGTAACATAAAGGTTTGCTCAAGTTGGATGGAACTTTGCAGAAGGCAAAGTGTCATTTCGTGCTTTGGGTCCTGTCTCTGCCGCTTGCTTTGTTGGTTCCTGGGATTACAGGTTGCTGTGTCTTCTGTGTATCAACTGGCTTGAACTACGTGAGTGTGTACCTCTCCTTTCCTGACCTCGGCTTCCCCTGACTACGTTTCTGCCTCCTGGATTCTGTCTGGCTTCTACTGGGATTTCTGAACTTCGGACTGCATTTAGACGACGGCTTCATCATCTTGTGTTTTGTGTTATTGTCCCCTTTGAATTGTGTTATTTTGGAGCGTTTTGCTCACACTTTGATTTAATCTGGATTATACTTCTGTTTAATCCGCTTTATTTTCCAAGTACTCTATTTCTGCCTGCAAGTTGCTGCAACTTTTGTTTACGTCAGAGGCACTGATAGGAAGTGTCTCTGAACCCTTTTGTTGGACCGAATAAACTCTTTTTTGGACTTTAAATTGTGTGTTGGGCTCTTTAAGGTGTCTGGGTTGTGACAAAATCCCAAACTCTTTTTTTTAAAACTAAGGGTACAGAATGGACAAGTGAAGTCATCAAATGCAAAAATAACTGGAGAAATAATGTTATATGCACAAAACTTAAAAAAAAACACATGAATACCAACAGCAGAAGAGAAGATTACAAAAGTTTTTAATCTGGCAGAAATAGATAAATTAAATTGGCAATGATGTTCCAGAGAAACCCCCAAAACAACCACAAAAAGGACTTGGAATCATTTTTAAAGTTCATCAGAAAAGAAATAGACTCACAATTATGGACAGAGGGCTTTAAATAAGGCTGAACCAGGGAAAAATTATCTTGAAACAACAATTAGTCAAAGGGTCCAATCTAGAGTTGCATTCTTGGAAGATACCCAGCACACATCTTCAAAGTAATAATGTCTCTCCTCCGCCCCCCCCCCGCCCCCCAATGAAGTCAACAGAGAAGATGAAGGGGGAGAGAGCAAGAAATACAGTGTATTGCATTATATTTTGCCCAAAATATGTAACATCTACAATGCAATTGTGGAGAAAAGGAATTTAAAAGCTGTGGTGTTTCTTTCTTTTTCTATACTTTCTTTTTCTATACTTTTCTAAACATGTTGTCAACAGCAGTCATCGGATCACCCCACAATACAAAGAAAATGAGAACATGCAAATACACATGGCAAGTTAACCCTTGACTTAAGAACTCTTTGAACAGAAAAACAAATCCACTTGCAAGCCCAGGGTTTGAAAAGTTGCAGCTGGTGTTGGAAATACTCAGAATATAAATTATGTCAGGAGGTAATCATCTGTGTATAAACAATACCCCCACATCAGAATTGTTACAGTGCCCACCCAATCCCATGTCTGAATAAAGCCTTAGATATAAAAATGTTCCTCAAGCCACAACTGGACCTCTCTATCTTCAAAGGCTCAAAAACTGGTGATGATAACTGCATCTTCGAAATTCTTATTCTTCATCTTGATAGATACCAATGGATCTTTTTCTGGTTGAAAGACTATGGATAAGATTTTGATAGATTTCTGAACCAAGAAACCGGGGGTATGAATCCCTTTCCATATGCATGTAAACTATCTTCTGGACTTCATCAAAACAGGAATGGCTTGGTTCTTGAAGCTCTGCGACAATACTTTCTCTTGCTGGACTATCAATGTTAATCTGGAAAAGAAGTTGTTTCCAACAACATCAGTGTTTTATTTTTATATTTTAGAAGAGGGGTGATGAGGCAAACTAAGGGAAAATTGTTTGCATAACACTATGGGCCCTTCCACACAGCCCTATATCCCAGAATGTAAAGGCAGGAAATCCACATCTGAGTGTGGGCTCAGACAACTCAGTTCAAAGCAGATATTGTAGGATTTTCTGCCTTGATATTCTTGGATATAGGGCTGTGTGGAAGGGCCCTATGTAACAAAAATGAAGAAAAAAAATATAATGTTCCTGATTTGAAAGTGTTATTTCCTGTTTAATTGTGCAATACTTTGAAAGTATTTATTATACTCCAGAAACTTCATTTTTGTGGCTGCCACAAACAGAGGTAATTTTCAACGGTAAGCAAACAGTATTTTGCCCCCCCCCCCAACCAATCATTGATATATATTTTCTGTTCGTCGTGGGAGTTCTGTGAGCCATATTTGGTTCAATTCCATCATTGGTGGAGTTCAGAATGCGCTTTGATTATAGGTGAACTATACATCCCAGTAACTACAACTCGCATATGTTAGGGTCTATTTTCCCCCAAGAGCACCTCAAGAGTGCCCCTGGGTAAAATCAACTATACCGCAAATGCTTACTTTGCGTAATGGGTTGCCGAGGCTTCCCCCAGACTGCTAGGGCTGTTGTGAGCCAAGGGGGCGTTCCTCAAGTGGCGGTCGAGGGGTATTTACAGAGGCGCCTCTGCGCCCCTGGTAAAAAAAAAACGTGTACTGCGACCGCTTACTTTGAGTAATGGATGAGCCGCCCCTGGTCACAAACTATGTTGAATTGGTACAGACTTTATGGCCCTTCCACGCAGCCATGTAACCCAGAATATCAAAGCAGAAAATCCCACAGTATATGCTTTGAACTGGGTTATCTGAGTCCACACTGCAATATATTTCAGTTCAAAGCAGAAAATATGGGATTTTATTCAGCTGTGTGGAGGGGCCCTAAGAAATTTTAATTGAAAAACAATAGCAAAATATAATGCGAGATGTAGTTTAATAAACTTTCCCCATGTTTTTATAATAGAAAATAGAATTTATTTATTTACAGTATTTCTATACCGCTTTTCTCACCCCTAGGGGGACTCAAAGCGGTAGAACCAATTAGGAAATGACATTTATAGCCTAGGAACAAATATCCTGTTACATAGTGCAATGGTCAAACCAACAGTGTTAGGAAGAGTTGCATGGAAGATGAAAGAGAAGTAGGAAGCCAAAAGAGATTAATATTTGATCATTATTTTCAAAATACTCAAGTTGCACAGAGGCATAAACTTAGTGCTTTGCTGCTATTACACTGCAGTTTCCTTTTAGTGCAGACTTGGCTGCAGGCATTTTTGGCTATTACCATAAAAATGATATTTCTGCAATTTTTAGTTTTCAATGCTAGTAAACATCAGTCACAGACCAATCTTGAAAAGCAAAATAGACCATGTATATTCCTTTTCTCCTGGTGCGTAGAAATGTCGCTCCAGGAGAAGCGGGAAGGAAAAGAGGAAAATCAAGTAGTCAAGATATCTTCGGGATTGGTGCAATGTTAATTTGTTTTAAGTTTTATGTAGACTTTTATGTAGAGTTAATTTGTTTTAAGTTTTATGTTTATTGCATTTGTAAGGCAATGAATTTTGTTATTTACTTTGTTGTGAATCGCTTTGAGTCTCGCACCAGGGGTGAGAAAAACAGCATACATATATGAAACAAACAAATAAATAATAAATTTTATTGGTCTTAAATTTACCTCTCTTGGAGCCTGAGGCTGGATATACTCTTTGAAAAGTTTCCGGGCCACTGCCGTTCTTTTCTTCTGGGAGGCAATCTTCTTATACCTTTCACAAGTCAACCAAAAGTCAATGTTCTCATCACTGTATTCAGTCTTCAGGTAGGATTTGTAGATAATTGGCCCATCTGAAAAACATATAGGTTGTTCAGGGCAGAGCTTTTTTTTTTTTTACTATTTACTTTCCTGACTATTCACCCAGTTCTAGATTTTTTTTCTATGTCAGGAGTGACTTGAGAAACTGTAAGTCACTTCTGGTGTGAGAGAATTGGCCATCTGCAAGGACATTGCCCAGGGAACACCCGGATATTTTACCATCCTGTGGGAGGAGTCTCTCATGTCCCCACATGAGAAGCTGGAGCTGACAGATAAGAGCTCACTCCATTCTCCGGATTCAAACTGCTAACCTTTCGGTTAGCAGTCCTGCTGGCACAAGGGTTTAACCCATTGCACCATCAGATGCTTGTTTTCCAGATGCAAACCAATGGTATGGTGAAGTGTGAGTTTTAATCTACAGTTATGTATAATAATAGATAGGTGTTTAAAAGGGTATTTAAACTAGCGTAACTGGGGGGATGGTAGCCAGCTCAACTCACTTTGAGCTGGGTTGCCATGGAAAAAGGGGCAGAGCCAACTGCCACTTGGCAGGGCAGCCATTATAAAATGTTTTAGTCTGTAGTCAGTGAACTACAGGGAAGGCTGGTTCTGTTGTGTGTTGACAACCAGTAAGGTAGTCTGTAGTCAGCGAACTACAGGGAAGGCTGGTTCTGTTGTGTGTTGAGAACCAGTAAGGTAGTCTATAGTCTAAGAACTACAGGGAAAGGCTGATTCTACTGTGTTGAGAATCAGGAGGGTTTAGACTTTTAGCCGGTGAAGTTCAGATGGGCCAAGTTGACTTATTTAGGTTAGTAGTTAGTGTATGAGTAGAAAGGGTGAGGGAAACCCAGTAAGCATCTTTACTGCAACAGAAATAACATAAGGAAAGAATAAGCTTGTACCTGAAATAATCGGTTAAGGAAAGAAAATACATTTTGAAGGAAAATAAGTTCAAAACCTGTTTAGTGAAAGGAATAGTCCTCTTAAGAGTTGTTTTATGAAATGTATTAAATGTAACCTCTGAAGAAATGTGCCTCTAAAAGTTAAGAAACATTGAAACCATCAAGCTTCTTCTATACTTCAATAAACTTGTTACAGTTTCTTCTAAAGCCAAGTCTCTGTTACAAATACTTTCAAGTTAAGCCATGCTACACATTGAAGAAAGAACAAATCAATATTACAAGCTATTAGTTGTGTTATCAATTTAGTAAGTCCTTACAAAATGGTGGCTCCTTTACCAACGTTTACAAATTGGTGACATTGTTACAAATTGGTGGCCTCTTTACAGATGGTTTCTCTCCTTTTAGACCACTGATCACCCAAAGGAATCTTTGGTATTTTGTCACATGAGGCAGAAAAATCCCATAAACACTCCTGTTCATCAATGGGAGCAAATTCAATATCTAATTGATTTATTGCTTCTGGATATATCTCTCTGTCTAATGCTGGGGTAGAACTGATCAGGACATCTATGTCTAGATATTCAACTCTTTCACATGACATAATTACAATGCTATGACTTCACTTTAACTGCATGTTACAGAATCCTGGGATTTGCACTTTAAAGTGGGAAATTTAGAATTCTCATACAGAGAGCTAGAGTACCTCCTCATACCACAAATCCCAGGATTCCTTCAGATACCGTCATGCCATGGTAGTTATAGTGGAATTTTAATGTCATATTTGTGTAGGGTGAAATGACCCATTGTGCTTTCCCATATTCTATTCTCTTTCTAACTCTTAGACAGCAGCTGATAATAGGATGTGGGATTCCATCTACACTGCTATATAAAATCTAGATTTTCTGCTTTGAACTGGATTACATAACAGTGTAAACTCAATGTATATTCGAAGGCTTTGAGTGTAAACTCATTTCCTCCAGTTCAAAGCAGATAATCCGGGATCAGAAACTGGATTATATGACAGTGTAGCTCCAGCCTTCGTTTACAGCAGCTGATTCTTTAAACCAGGTCTGAGAAGGAGGTGGTTTTCCGGTGTTGTTGAACTACATTTCTCATAATCCAGGATTATAGATCATGTTGCCTAGAAATGATGTGAACTGGAGTCTAACATCTTGAAGGCCATAGATTCCTTGGTTTTGCATTTAGCCGTGTAATATAGGAAGAGATGGGAGATTCCGGCTGTATCTACACTGCCATATAATCCAGATTATCTGATTTGAACTGGATTAGATGAGTCTACACTGCCATACAATCTAGATTATCTGGATTTTATATGGCAGTGTAGATATGGCTTCAGCCATTACCATTCAGTCACATTTCTTGACTCATTCATTTTTCCTGAAAAATCTAAGGTGTTTCCACACATCACTAAAATCCATGCTGAAATGGGATAAAGTACCAGCACATCTTTCTCATCTGTGTAGATGTGCCCTAGAGTTTCCTCACCATGTAGATGCATCCTGCGAGAAACCCCTTGTTCAAAAGTGTAAAATTAATGCAGTTTGACACCACTTTAACTGCCACAGCTCTATGCTATGGAATTATTGTCACTGTGATTGTGATTATTGTAATTTTATATCGTTGTGCTTTTATATCGTTATGCTTCATATGTTTTATGTAATTATGATGTTGTTGTTTATCATTTGTGTTTTCGGTTTTATTCTGTTGTAATTTGTTGTTTGGGCTTGGCCTCATGTGAGCTGCCCTGAGTCCCCATCGGGGAGATGTTGGCGGGGTATAAATAAAGCATTATTATTATTATTATTATTATTATTATTATTATTATTATCTGAATGTCTTTGGCCCCTTCCACACAGCTGTATAAAATCCACATTGAACTGGATTATATGGTTAAGTGGACTCAGATAATCCAGTGCAAAGCAGATATTGTGGATTATATACTTTGATATTCTGGGCTATATGGCTGTGCAGAAGGGCCCTTTGAGTCTTCTCTGCCAAATAGCAATACAAGCATCTATGATCCATTTTAGTTCACGCAGACCTCTCCTTCATGTACAAAATAATTTTTCTGAATTTTGGATAGTCTTAGGCCCTTTCTACACTGCCTTATATCCCAGGATCTGATCCAAGATTATCTGATTTGAATTGGATTACATAGATCTGCACTGCCAGGTAATCTGAGATAATCAGATAATCTAAGATCAGATCCTGAGATATAAGGCAATGTAGAAGGGGCCCTAGGCCCCATCTACGCGGCCATATAAAATCCAGATTATCTGCTTTGAACTGGATTTGATGGTTGTTTAAACTAATATAATCTAGTTCAAAGCAAATAATGTGGATTATCTGATTTGATAAATTTGGATTATATGTCAGTGTAGAAGGGTCTCGAGTCTACACTGTCATATAATCCAGTTCAAATCAGATAATCTGGATGTTATATGGCAGTGTAGGTGGGGCCAGAGACTCTACTAATTAGGTTGAATAAATATTCTTGGGCAATGACAACTACTTTTCTCCTCAAGGAGTTGAAAATACAGTCTTTGCTCAGGAGCAGATCCACTGTTAGTGAAGGTTTGCTATTCTAAACCCAGACAGTTCGTCATAAGAAAACACACAACACATAGGCACAAACACAGATTCTGCAGACTGCTTTGAGAACTGTTTTTTTTTAAAATGCAATAAAATTCAGCATGAAATGAAATTTAAAGGGCACTTTGAAACAGAGAACAGGAAAAAAAGAGTCTTTGTACCATTACAACAATTAAAATAAAGGGCAAAGAAATAAAAATCCTTAAGGGTTGAATATTGTAAAACCACAATTTAATTTAAAAAACAAGGGGAAATAATAAAAGGGTTGCCTGGTGTCAGAAGGACATGAAAGCAGGGTTTGACAGAGCTCATGCAGGACGCATATTTAAGGAGTCATTCATGAAATGTAGCTTGTGTTAGCTATTATTTAGGATTCCTAATCAGGTTTTAAAATAACAAGTTCTAGGCTGAATCTGGACTCACTTCCTCATGTAATAGGTTTTTGGATGCAAATGCAACTAGTTATAGGAGGGACAGGCCCATAGCCAGGATTTCGATTCAGAGGCGGGGGTTAGTTTGTTTTGGGGGGGGGGGGGGCTGAGTCCAAGTGAAAGAGGGTCTACCCTAGCAAACCTTTTGTATCGTTACCCCAATACCCCCATGCATATGGGCAGGGGTGGCTCGTCCATTACGCGAAGTAAGCGGTTGCAGAACACTGTTTTTGCCAGGAGGATTTCGTTTCGGGGGGGGGGGGCTGAATTTTTTTCAGGGGGGGTTCGGGGGGGCTGAGTTTCGGGGGGGCTGAGTCTGAGTGAAAGAGGGTCTACCCTAGCAAACCTTTTATATCATTACCCAATACCCCCATGCATATGGGATATATTGAGTATGGTGATCAGATCATGATATGAATAAACATAACAGTTTAAATAATGCACCAGTAAGGCCTTTTCGCGAACCACCATGAGAATTTCGGGGGGGGGGCTGAAGCCCCTCAAGCCCCCCCCCCCCCCCCCCCCCTACATGCCATGCATATGGGACATATTGAGCATGGTGATCAGATCATGATATGAATAAACATAACAGTTTAAATAATGCACCAGTAAGGCCTTTCGGTAAACCACCATGAGAATTTCGGGGGGGGGGGGGGCTGAAGCCCCCAAGCCCCCCCCCCCGGCTACATGCCTGAGGAGAGATCAATGTCCACCATAGGGTTTGACTGAGTGAGAACTGATGCTACTGTATATCTGGATTGATTTCCCTGCTCGCCTCTTGTTTTGCCACAAGTATAGTGGCAGGAATATATATAGGTGATCCCATCTCATAGAACAAAACATTTCATTATCTGTCAAACATATCACTAGTTATCTCCCTCCCTAACAATGTGATGTGGTTGCAAAAAAGCCAATGGGATTTTGGCCTGCATCAATAGGAGCATAGTGTCTAGATCTAGGGAAGTAATGCTACCCCTCTATTCCGCTTTTGTTAGACCACACCTGGAATATTGTGTCCAATTCTGGGTACCACAATTCAAGAGAGATATTGACAAGCTGGAATGTGTCCAGAGGAGGGCGACTAAAATGATCAAGGGTCTGGAGAACAAGCCCTATGAGGAGCAGCTTAAAGAGCTGGGTATGTTTAGCCTGCAGAAGAGAAGGCTGAGAGGAGACATGATGGCCATGTATAAATATGTGAGAGGAAGTCACAGGGAGGAGGGAGCAAGCTTGTGTTCTGCTTCCCTGGAGACTAGGACACGGAACAATGGCTTCAAACTACAAGAAAGGAGATTCCATCTGAACATGAGGAAGAACATCCTGACTGTGAGAGCCGTTCAGCAGTGGAACTCTCTGCCCCAGAGTGTGGTGGAGGCTCCTTCTTGGAAGCTTTTAAACAGAGGCTGGATGGCCATCTGTCAGGGGTGATTTGAATGCAATATTCCTGCTTCTTGGCAGGGGGTTGGACTGGATGGCCCATGAGGTCTCTTCCAACTCTTTGATTCTATGATTCTATGATTCCAACCCCCTTTTCCCATATCATAAACTATAGTTGTTTTAAGGATGGCGACATGGGTGGGAGGAATAACAGGAAAGCAGGGGGAAATGATTTGACTTCTCCAACCGACCCTCCACCCCCATAAAATGGACTATTCCTCTCTCCCTAGTGCCCTCTAGTGGCCGCCGTCCAGATAATGGAATTGTACCGAAATTTTCCACCTTCAATAAAGTTTTCCTTTCCTCCCCAAGGTTCTAGCATTGCACAGAGCAAGATATTGGAAATATCTCATGCTTAGAACACCAACATTAGTGGCATTTTCTTGTAACTTTGCCTGCATTTCTTCTTTAATGTCGAAACTCTCCCTCCCCCCTCCCAATTTTCAAGAATGTTAGGTCTACTCACATTTAGTAGCCATTAGCTTTTCAAAGGACTGGGACCATTGCAGCACTTCCTCCAGGCTTACTCTTTGAGGAAAAAAAAAATAAGAGTGTGAGTTCACAATGACAAATAACTATTAATTCTATGCCCGGGCCAAAGGATGCAGATGAGATTGTCCTGTTTTGCAGAGCCATGTGGTATTTTTCAAAGTTCTTCTGGACCTGGTTCTGAATGGCCTGGGTGGAAGATCATCTATTACTTGTAAGCAAGCAGCTGTGAACTTTCTGAATTGGGAGGGATAGCCAATACTCCAGAGGACAGGAGCAGGATTCAAAACGATCTTGACAGATTAGAGAGATGGGCCAAAGCTAGCAAAATGAAGTTCAACAGTGACAAATGCAAGATACTCCACTTTGGCAGAAAAAATGAAATGCAAAGATACAGAATGGGTGACGCCTGGCTCGAGAGCAGTACGTGTGAAAAAGATCTTGGAGTCCTCATGGACAACAAGTTAAACATGAGCCAACAATGTGATGTGGTGGCAAAAAAAGCCAATGGGATTTTGGCCTGCATCAATAGGAGCATAGTGTCTAGATCTAGGGAAGTAATGCTACCCTCTATTCCGCTTTGGTTAGACCACACCTGGAATATTGTGTCCAATTCTGGGCACCACAATTGAGATATTGACAAGCTGGAATGTGTCCAGAAGAGGGCGACTAAAATGATCAAGGGTCTGGAGAACAAGCCCTATGAGGAGCGGCTTAAGGAGCTGGGCATGTTTAGCCTGAAGAAGAGAAGGCTGAGAGGAGATATGATAGCCATGTATAAATATGTGAGAGGAAGCTACAGGGAGGAGGGAGCAAGCTTGTTTTCTGCTTCCTTGGAGACTAGGACGCGGAACAATGGCTTCAAACTACAAGAGAGGAGATTCCTTCTGAACACGAGGAAGAACTTCCTGACTGTGTGAGCCATTCAGCAGTGGAACTCTCTGCCCCGGAGTGTGGTGGAGGCTCCTTCTTTGGAAGCTTTTAAACAGAGGCTGGATGGCCATCTGTCAGGGGTGATTTGAATGCAACATTTCCTGCTTCTTGGCAGGGGGTTGGACTGGATGGCCCATGAGGTCTCTTCCAACTCTTTGATTCTATGATTCTATGATTCTATGAAATAAACGAATGGCATATAAAAAGAAATAAAAATCAGTTATATTTGAAAAGAAATGTCAGACCACCAAGCTAGCCATTGCGGGAGGCTGCATAATTCCTTCATGAAAACACAGTCAGCTCATGAATGTTAGTAGGAATTTTATTTACTATTACTGAGCAAGCCACAACACAAAGTAATTAGAGATCCCTGTCGTAGTTTCGAGTACTTATTAAAGTAAATAAAACAAAGGAAACAAACAGTGTCACATGAACAGCCTGATGTGGATGGATTTTGTCTGCTCAGAAATAGGGAAATGAAGTAACGGAGTCTGACATTTAGGAAATGGAAGGGATTAGCCACCTTGGACTGCCTGCTGTTGGCTCACAAATTGTAACTTAGTGTTGGTTTTCTTCTTCTCTCTTGGCTTGACATCAGTTTCCAAATACATAACAAAGCTACTTAATTATTACAAAATTCAGTTATAATCCATTCTTGATTAAAAGGAAAATTGGCCTTTGGACACTGAGCTCAAACAAAAGATTCATAAACCTGCCTGGCACAACAGCTGCTTGCAGGATTTTACAACCTTGTCAAGTTATAATCATATCTGTCCTTTGCCTTGGTGCATTTTTAGCTTACACTATTAAACCTTATGGTCCTAAAGTCATTGTTGTTGTTATTGACTCACTGGGCACATCCAGACTGAAAAGTCCCTGAAGATTTGCATGCTCTTTCTAATTTAATATCATGTTAAAATAAACTGAAATTAAGAGTGGTAAGAAGATATTGATCACAGCAAGAGCAGACAGGGAATATTCTGGGATAAACAAAAGATTATGGATCTCCAAATGAAATGGGAAAGAACAGGAGCAAAATCTGGGACTTTTGTGGTTTTTAACTAGTCTAGATGCTCCAACTCTGAGGAAAACAACAATGCTCTTAGTTGTTTCTTATAGCGCTTTGAGGCATCTTGGAACAGTAGGAAAACTGTTGTTATCAGTGGTTTGAATAGGAGAGATGATCAAAACTCAGAAAGTAACAAATCTCCATGACCTACCCAAGAGTCATGTGTAGACAACACAATTTTTAGAGAGCAAACAGGAATTTGGTGTGACCAAAGGTTTAGGTTAATAAAAGTGATACTGAATTAAGGCCATACTAGACCCATCCACTTTTGTAGTATAATGTGACTTGAAGGCAATTTGAAACTATGGTGGCCACGAAATGCACAGTGCAGCATGCATTATAGGGATACAGTGCATTAAATATGTTACAGTAAAGTCTGAATTCAGCCAAATAATACTCTGCAGCAGATCCAAATAAATCCCAGATCCAGGGTAAAATTGGATCTGAAAAATGAGGAGCGTATTATAGACCCATGTCCCTGCTGAAGTGCTTTGTAATATTCAGAATGAGAGGGCTTCCAAAAAAGCTCCCCAAGAGCATGGCTGGATAGCAGGGGCAGGCCCGTAGTCAGGATTTCGATTCGGGGGGGGGGGGCTGAGTTTTTTCAGGGGGGGGGGTTCGGGGGGGCTGAGTTTCAGGGGGGCTGAGTCTGAGTGAAAGAGGGTCTACCCTAGCAAACCTTTTGTATCATTACCCCAATACCCCCATGCATATGGGATATATTGAGTATGGTGATCAGATCATGATATGAATAAACATAACAGTTTAAATAATGCACCAGTAAGGCCTTTTCGCGAACCACCATGAGAATTTCGGGGGGGGGGGGCTGAAGTCCCTCACCCCCCCCCCCCGGCTACATGCCTGAGCAGGGGGTATATTGACCCCTGGGAGGAGTAATTCATCACCTTCGCTCCTATCACTTCCTTTTTTCCTTCTAGTATGCATCTGGAGCATACCAAGTGTACATCTCTCTCAAAAATGGGGGAGCAGGAGAGGGAGGAGCCCACAGAGTGGTTTGCGGCCAGATCTGGCTTCAAATCAGTTTCAGATCTGTCAATCTGTACATCCATGAAATAAAACTGGTTCCTCCCACACCAGTTCCAAGCTGCATTATAGCGTCCATGTAGATGTGCCCCTTGTGAGTTTTATCAGTAAGGAAACATTTGAATCCAAGTCTCATCTATTCTAGAGTTGAAGCAAACTACACATTTAGCAAATCTTTTAATAGGTATTATGTCAAGTGGTGAATGGACTTTTGACCTAGACACAGTTTGAGATTGCACATATTTATTCTCTCTTCCCTATCATGCTTTCATTGGAGGTAATTTGCAAACTTGATCATTGAGCTACATGTTTCGGATAGAATCTCTCTGTGGGAGGGAGAACAGGTGAATTGTGCTGCCTAATTTGACCTCTAAACTGACATTTTGGCCCATGATCTTTGGTGTCTCTGCATGAATGTATTAAGAATGGGAAATAAACAAGATGAACTTGAACATTTAATACAACAAAGTGAATATTATATAATTGGCATCACTGAAATCTGGTGGGCCAAGTTTCATGATTGGGAATAGAGGGGTATAATAATAATAACTTTATTTGTATTCGACCCTATCTCCCCAAGGGAACTCAACAAACAAAAACATGTAGGCAAATATTCAATACCTTAAGACAGCCATAAACATTATTACATTAAACAACCTACCCCAAATCCCAAAGTTATGCAACATCGAACAACAAATTATAAACATGAGACCTAAAATTACATAATTAGTTAAACAATTAAAATTATCTAAACATAAGAAACATGAGCACCAATTTATAAAACCACTATAGGTATATTAAACATTTAAAATTAATTATATAGCAATAATGTCCACAGTGCCAGCTGAGCCGACTAGTATAGTTTAAGCTATTTAAGAAAAATAGACCAAATAGGAAAAGAGTAGGACTCCTGCTGCATACCAAGGATTTTAAATATGAGCACTCATGATATAAATCCTGGAAACTGAGAGTAAAAATTAAGGGAAATCTCTTGCAGACATCCAAGCCAGACTGAGGACTTGGAGGATGCCTTCCTAGAAAAGATGACCACACATTTAGAAAAAGAGAGGTGTAGTAGTATTTCCTGGTATTTATTGGAAGACAAACTCTACCAAGAAAGACAGTGACAGTATAAACCGGCATCTTTGTTACCAGGAGAATGGGGGAGGGCTAAGTGGAGTACATGCAGTTCCTAGTGAGCCTTTGCAACTGGGAAGGGATTACTCCAAAGGTCATCACTGCCAATTAAACTAAGCGGCTCTTAGGTTTTCATTGGTCCATGCAAGGGATGGCACAGTCCATAAAAGCTGTTTCCTTTCTCTACCCGCCCCCCCCCCCCCCAAATGGAGGGGATTCTCTCCACCCCATTCTTGCTCCTTCCAAAACAGAGGGAGGAGGGGTGGAAGAAAGAAAAAGTAAAAAAAGAAAAGGAGTTAGGAAACAAAGAGGGATGGAGAAAAGGAAGGAAGGTAGGTAACAGAGACGGAAGGAAGAGGAGAAAGGGAGAAAGAAAAAGAGAGGAAAGAAATTCATATTGTGGCATAATGATCTGGTGGTAGCTCTCAATCCTCTGGGTGACGCTAGCCAAGTCACACTCTCTCAACATCTGATGAAAACAAAGACAAATATCCTTTGAATCTTGATAAGAAAACCCTTGATAGTGTTGCCTGAGGGTCAACCTAAGAATGAAGCAACTTGAAGGCACACAACAATAATAAACTATAGTCATCCTGCCAACAGCCTGAAAGACCATGAACTGGTCCTCTGCTTTAAAAGTTTGAGGACCCCTGGTAAATAGTGTGATGCAGCAGTTAAATAAGGCAATGCAATTCTAGGCTGCATCAATAGAAGTATAATATCCATATAAAGAGAAGTCATAGTTCTACTGGGGGACATGAGAGAAGCCTCCCTGCAGGATTGAAAGACATCCAGGCATCCCCTGGGCAACATTTTTGTAGATGGCTGATTCTCTCACTCCAGAAGCGACCAGAAG